GGGGTCCCCGTGTCCTGCGGCTCCGGCGGGGGGCTGGGCGCAGGGGGCGCCCCGGAAAAGTTCCCGGCCCGCGGGCGGGGCTCCCGCTTGGCCGTCCCGCCCGCGGGGGTCTGGGGGCGGGCACAGGGTCCCCGCGGTGGGCCGGGGAGTCCGGCAAGTTGGAAAGAGCCCAGACAATGCGTCCTAGCGGGCGTCCCCCACAGACAATGGCCGGGCCGTCCCCAGGCCGGCGGGGGCGGGCGCGGGCGAGCCGAGCCCCCCCACGGCCCGCGCACCCCAAACCGTCGGGAGTCCGGGCGGCCTGGCGCCCCTGAGCCGCGGCGCGCGGGCTGCGTTACGTGGAAGTGTGAGAAGGTGGTTTAGTTTTACAGTTTTTTCTTTTAAAGTCCCCCCACCCCCCATAAAAACGCTAATGCTCCAGCCACCCTGAAGAACGTGGGCACGAGTGTGGACTAGGGGACCTCCCGGCAGCGCGAGGGGTGTAGAGGGAGTAGCCCGAATGTCTGCTTTCTTTCTTTTTAAAGGGAAGTTTGCCGGGAGGTGCCTGGGGTGCGACCGCTGTTTCCCAGCTCTCTGGCTCTCTTCTCCGGGTCACCCCAACCCGGCGCACAGAGGGTGGATGTGTGGGGGGCTGCCTGAACGGCCCGCTTGCCTTAGGGTGCCCGCGGAGCCCCGGTTCCCGGGACCCACACTGAGCGTTCGGGCCGGGCCGGCGCGGACGGAAGCCGCATTCTTGGACGGGTGGGGAGGTGGGGGTGGGGAAGGCAGGCGGGGAGTTTTCCGTAAGGTTGGCTCGGGGACCCAGTGTGTGGGGGGGCACCGGGGCCCCCTCCTGGACCCCCAGTGGCCTGGCCACGGCGGAGCAGCAGAAACTTCCCCACTCTGCGCCCCCTCCCCTCCCCCTTTCTTCCCCCTCCCATGAAGGCTGGAGTCGTCTCGAGGCATAGGGTATTGGCCTGTTGTTCCACCTTGAAATTCCCGGAGCAGCCTCGGTTTATCCTTCTGATCAGCCTACGGGCCCAAGCCCTGGACATTCCTGAGCACTTATAGCAATGGCGCTGCAGTGGTCTCCGGGCCACGGGGCTCTGCGAGTGTCACTCCACCTTGGGAGCCCGGTCTCTGGTCTGGTAGACGGCTTGGCACCATTAAGCTGTGTGTTTTCAAAAGGCTCGGTCTGATTTGGTT